AAACAATCTAACTTAGCAATCTGAGATTTCTTTTTAATCTTAACTTAATAATTTTACTTACGTTTGTTTCAATATTTGTACATTTCAAAATGTATAAAGGTTGAGTATATTTTAATACAACTTCTTGTATAAAGTAAATATTTTTTCGAGAAAATGTAAAAAAAAAATCAATTTGTATTTACAGATTTCAGTAACTTTCTAAATTGCCAATTATCTTATACAACACAGTATACATTGATATATAACTAGGAAATAAATATCCTTTTTAGTTCGCTCCTGGAAATTGTTTTACGAGTACAAAACCACAGAGTATTTTATGACACGCTATTTCATTCCAACACCACACTGTCTTTATTTCTGTTTGGGAATTTCTTCAACGTTATAGTCTCCCATTACTTCATTGTTATACCTTATTACATATCGTATGATTCGTGTGAGAACAGAATAAATATAAACGTTCATAAGTTTGTTTGTAAAGTATTGAAAATGTGACTTTTAAAGCAAATGAAAACAAGATATTAAAGCTTATCAAATTCGGACTCAAACAACACTACTCAGCTAGTCATTTATAATTATATGTTTCTTATCTCCAGGAAAATAAAATATTCGTTAATTTTACTGGAGATAAGAGCCGTTTACTCACCAAATGTATAAGATACTCTGAAAAAGAGAAAAGAATGATTAAAATTGTCACATGAACATCCAATGATGCAAAAACATGAGCAAATGATATTAAAATATTATTTAAGTAGACTTCAAAGAAATGGGCGCAAGATCAGGAGTGAAATTCTGCCGATACTCACCGGTACTGAGTACCGGATCTTATTTTTTTTTAAGGCGGTACTAGTACCAGGACTTATTTGAGCTGCTTTGTCGTTTTTTTGTGTTTACACGTAGATTTTTTTTCTTTTTCAAAAACGGGTTCACTTCACCCAGCTGAGTACCTCTACTTTTTTTTTGAGAATTTCACCTCTGCGCAAGATAATGGTGTCTACAAAGGAAATGCATGACAATCATTGAAAACTATCTAAAACCATCACTTTAATGACTTCTTTGGAAGTTTATTCATAAAAAATATCACAAACAAGTAAGAGTTAATGTTTGAAATACTGTTATCAACTTTTGTTAACATGATTAATAATGACAGCTCTTACTTGAATAAAATGTCTACACTGATAAGAATGCTTTTATAAAATTCAATACAGCAACAAAATGTTAAACTTTACAACTCCTATTTAAAATAAAGTTGGTATAACAAATTACTTGAAATTATGTCGCTTTGCACAATTCTTTAATGTAAATTTATACAAAATAGTTGGCATTAGAAAAACGTGCTGCCATCTATTTTTGTCATAACTGCAGTGAGATTTTTCAAATCTAGGCACAGCATCCGATGAAATGTTACCAATTATTTTTTCAAACGTTTCCAACAACAAAATTATAACAGACAAATCAAGTTTTTCCCTTCAAGAATTTCGTCTTGTACTTTATCTGAAGATGTGGAGATCTCTGCTTGGACTGACAACACAGAACATATGAATGTCACGATTGTACTTCCAATGGCCAAATAAAAAGTCCATCCTACAGTATAAAGAGAGAAAAATAACTTATATTATAAAAACTTAGCACATCTTAATTCTTAACCACCTGCCTTCGGATTATAACCCATCTAAAATACAAGAAATCCCCCCCCCCCCCCAAAAAAAAAAGAGAGAGACAAAAACTCAGACATGATAGAAAATAGTCGGTGCTTTCTCATATTTATGTCAAACTCAACGTAAAACAGCATTTTCTTTCAAAACTATTTCCTACAGAGCATGAAAAGTTGTTTTCCGCAAATAATATCAATGGTGTTAGTGGGTTGAAATGAAGAAAAGTTTAAATCGTTTTCGGTATTTATTTCTATAAGTTTTCTGCAATACTCCATTACCCAATAAAGCGAAATACACACACACACACACATACATACAGATATATATATATAACTCACGTTTCAAGAATAAATGAAAGATAAAACTTATTCAAAAATTCTTATCTCTCCCCAGATGATTTTGCCAGTAGTTCGAAGTCTTTACACTAAATATCTATTGTAACCACTATGTAAAAGCGAAAAGAACATTGCTACAGTTCCGTGGTATTTCTGGTCAAATAAAAGTAAGACTTATCTTGAGCGGATCATTACATTTCTTCTTCAATACTATTATCTGATACTTACCCAACCTGCAGTCTCCCAATAGAAATGGTTGTGCACTTTCACCACAAACGAGCTGCACTCGTGTACTTCCCCAACCGGCTGGATAAAGAACTAATCCCAAGATGAACAACAAACCTGTGGTAGCACAATTTCAAAGAGAACTAAAACAACATGTAATTGACTATGCTAAAAGATGCTAAATATTACATCAAATTCTATCATACATTCCAGTATTTATGAAAGCATTTTTGTTTCGTGAAAACATTTCGAAATCAGATAACGTTATTAATAGTACATGTCTAAAAGCTTAAAATTAATGAAAAGAACAAACATTAATAAACTTAATAGGAATTATTATACAAAAAGATATAATACATAATTTCGGAACGTGCGCAGTTATTTTCATTCTGAAAAAGCAAATATATTGTATTCGTATTTACGGCAAAGCCACTGCTGCACTACTGACCAAAGGGAATGCAGTCAGTCAGCAGCATCCTACCAACGAGCATCATATAACATACGCCACAGCTTAAATTGCGCGGGAATATTTTGTGGTATTGCAGAATTCGAAACCGGCTCGCGAGCTTCGAAAACCAGAGATCTACCACGGAGCAAGCCCGTGCCCCTACCACGTGCAACAATATAAAGTTTGGAAGTACTTATTATATTGTACACAAGGCATACATTTATTTTTCTTTATCTACTTTAAGAAGATGTTAATAATTACTGATAATTTCTCACTGTCACATTCAACCATGTGACTTAACTTGGACTGACTCAGAAACTTTAACGAACAATTATTAACGTTCAGCAATATTTTTTCTACTAACTACAGAACAAAAAAATTAGTTCTTAAATCATGAAAAGTAAATAGAACATTAACAATGATTTTAATAATCTTATAAAGTTAAAAAGTGTTAAAGAAGAGCCATCGCAGTATTTTAAAGTCCAAATTGAAATTATATTAAAACTAATATTACATCCTAAAAGAAAGAAAAAATAAAACCCTTCATCGTTAATCTAAATAATAAAGTCACGATACACCTTTTCAAACCAATGTTTCATACGTGAAAATATTAAACGGAATGAGTAACTAAAAATGGAGATTATCTATCCCAGTACAACTAACGTAGATAGATAACATTAAGTATTTTAACTTGTTTTACGAAAAATAAACATTTTCTGTGCACGAATGCTTCGTTAGATCATAAAATACCATTCATGTTTTCACTTTAGGTTATAAAAGAACCCACAAACATGCTCCTGTTAGAAAATAAAACACCATTCATGTTTTCACTTTAGGTTATAAAAGAACCCACAAACATGCTCCTGTTAGAAAATAAAACACAATTCATGTTTTCACTTTAGGTTATAAAAGAACCCACAAATATGCTCCCAAGGTCAACAGCAAAACACATTTTTCAACAAGTATATATACTAAATTTCCCGTCAGCATAAAAAGTGAATAAAACTTTCAAAATAATATTCTTTATATTTTTGGTGTATAAACAATATATATATATATATATATATATATATAGGAAACAGGCAGTCAAGGATCCGATCCAACCACTTTACCTCGTGTAGTATTATGAGAAATAAACAGAAAAATAAGCCAAACCTAGAATATTTATCCCCAAAACTTGTCATTTCCTTATTTTGCCATGGCGAAAACTTTGCGCTTTTTCTCAGATTGTTGTAATTTATCTCGATTTATTATCCAAATCATTTGTATTCAATTTCAGAAGTCTTTCAAAACTAGTGGACGTAATAGGTTTGTTAATAATGCTCGAATTCGTTCTCCCTAACAGAACATGATATGACAGAGCAATGTTCTGAATAACGCAAACATGAGTAATACCTTCTCCGAAGAAACAGTGAATCACACCCACACAACGCTTTATATGAGAAAAAAAAATAATCTTAAAACGATAAAATGCATGAGGTTCGTAAAAAATAGCTTAAAACTAATGTATATGTCGTTAGAATAAGCCCTCAGTTAAGGCCAAGATTTCTTGGCCCAATGCATTTTTGCTAAATAAATCACTGTATGTCATAATCACGCGTACTTCGATAAATCACACACATCCAGACTGTATTAGTATTTCGCTTTTGAAAAGAAACGAGTATGATGGTTCCTATTCATCATTCAGAACTACATTTGTACCCATATAAAATCCAGATAATGGCAAAAACATCTGACAACCAGGCTGATTTCTTTTGCATCTGAGAATGGATACCAACAGTGATGAATGATTCTACCAGAAGTAATGGAAGAATATAAAGGAAGTGATAGATAAAGGCTTTAATCCATCGCTATGGTTGGGTTAAAATGAAACATCTATCAAATTGCATGTGAAGTTAATTTATAATTTTGAAAAAGTAAAAAGTACATTATGATAATTAGTGAAAGTTTAATCTAGTTAGGTACAAGAAAATTCATCCTAAGCTCTCATTCCGTGCTTGAAACATCAGGATTATTATTATTCTAATTATGATTATTATTATTATGATAATTAGTGAAAGTTTGATGTAGTTAGATATCAGATAATTCATGCTGAACTCTCATTCCGTGCTTGAAACATTGGGATTATTATTATGCTAATTATTATTATTATTATAATTAGTGAAAGTTTAATGTAATTAGGTATCAAATTATCCATGCTAAACTCTCATTTCATGCTTGAAAAATTAGGATTATTATTATTGTTACTATTAGAGAAATTTCGTAGTTTTAGCTTGCTGTGCTTATTAAAGCCCGTTTTATGTTCATACTTACAAACTTATAAATGTTGTATCTGCCTACTATCCAATTTGGCTCTTAGTCATTCGAATGAGAAATGACACGTGATATTTCAATTACAGCAGAAAAAAAGTGTTGAATCCGTCCGTCTCAGGCTTACGTTTAAGTTATACAGAGAAAAACCACTTTTCCAACACAGTTTCATTCTCATTAGTTATTACAACAAAGAACGTTAAAGAAAAACCTTCGAATAAAAGAAACAAATATCCCTAGGGTTATAGAGTTATATTCTTTTAGTTTTCTTAATATTGTTATTCATTATCTACTCTGTAAATAAGTAATTCTATTTAGTTAGTGACGGATTTGTTATTATATATTTATTTTAATATCAACGTTTGTTTAGATTAAGTTTATATTTAGAAATATGCATAACTTAGTGTTAAATATGTATTGCGAAACTCCCACCTATTCTCCAAAGTTGTAGAAGATTCTCCAAAGTAAGAATCAACAATATATGTGTGTAGTAAAAGCTTCAATTTGTATTGTTACGTAAAACTGAAATTTCTAGAACGCCTCCACACGGCTATAAATATAACCAACGCAACGCGCCGAAAGAGAGAGTATCTATTATTAGTTCGCTATAGTCGGTGTGCTATAGACTTCGAAAGCTATAACTGTGATTGTTATAACGCTTATTAATCAGAAAACTTAAGGTATTTGACCAGGAGCATTTACAAAGTTCGAACATTACAAATCATTTAACTTCAGTGGATTCTCATCGCACATTAGTACTTTTACGAAAACATTACCTAACTTCAACGGTGAAAAAACTCAGCGTATGTGGCAAAGGACAAAGCTAGCTAGCTTCCCGTTAAGCGAATCGTACGTACATCAACTCGTAATTGTGTGTATCAATCTTCTTGCAAATATCATAAACGATAAAATATCGGCTTTAATTTAACTATTAAATCCAAAGTAAAATTTAACTACTAAATTTAAATTTATCATTAACTCAATTTCAAACCATTTGAAATTATAATAGGTAACAGTACGTAAACGCCAGTGTAGCTTTGTATTGTTACGTAATCTGAATTTTTGAGAAACTCTCTACTCGCCTATAAATATAACCAACGCGACGCGCCTAAAAACAGTATCTATTATTGGGTTGCTAGAATTGGTGTGCTATAAACTTCGTAAGCTATAACTGTGATTAACGCTTATTAATCGGGAAACTTCAGATATTTGACCAGGAACGTTTATAAATTTCAAACATTACAAACCATTTAGCTTCAGTGGATTCACTTCGGAAACTAGTACTTTTAAGAAAACATTACCTAACGTCATGGGTAGAAACTACCTGTAATCGGCGGATGATCAGCGAGAACTACAGGGCTAGCTAGCTTCCTATTAAGTGAGTTATACCTACGTCAACTCGAAATTAACTCGCTCATCGTGGACCCTCTATAAGATATCGAAGAAGTTCCAGACTAGAAAGAAGCCTTTATATTGCTTGTAAGTTTGTAAAACTTTAGTATATAAATCATTTTTTATAATAACTATTTGTAATAACTGTTATTGTAAGTTGTGTGTATATTAAAACGTATTTGTGTTTTTAAAAAAAGAAAATTGTGTGTATCGGCTTTTACTTAGCTGCTAAATCCAAAGTACAATTTAACTACTAATTTTAAAGGATCATTTAGCTCATTTTCAGACCTTTCGAAATTGTAATACTTAACATAATAAATTGGTGTACATTAGCGTTTACATACATACATATATTGTATGTACACTCGAGAATCTCTACAACTTTAGAGAATAGGCGGGAGTTTCGCAATACATATTTAACTATATTAGTCATGCATATTTCTAAATATAAACTTAATCTAAACAAACATTGATATTAAAATAAATATATAACAATAAATCCGTCACAAGTTTGACAGTAATTCCATTACCTGAATTTTTACTTATATTTTTACTTATATAAAATATTGTTTTATTATTTTTATTTTTTGGTTTTATGCAAATAAGCATAGTATTTACCATAATCGTAAAATTCTCCTTTTGCTAATCAAATTTGATTTCTTGCCTAATGAATCTATTAACTAATCCTCCTATATTAATTCAACTTAGTTGGTTTTTTTTGTGGTCCACTGTGCACCAGCGATAATTTAAGGAACTTATAACACTAAAACCCGGGGTTCGAATCCTTGTAGTGGATATAGTACAAATAGATCATTGCGTAGCTTTGCACTAAGAAAACAACAAGCTTTGCTTGTATTTATTTCCAGCTAACTCTTATCACAGTTCTGGAGCTAGCAGAACCAAACTTGGCAAACGGATTCGGAGAGGGTATCCTTATCTATAGGGTATAGCCTATACCAAGAGAGATCGGGAGGACGTCTACGAGTAGGTCTTTAAGGTCACTGAACCCGAATCTGGTATAGATTTTGTGTTTCTATTTCTCCTCGGGATCCTTAGTCCGCCGTTTTTGAAACTGTGTTCATGCCCCCACCCCCCACTCAAAAGCTAGCTGGACCAAACTTGGTACACATGCACAGTTACCAAGAACGGGTGTCCTAACGAGTTTTTCTTCGGTTGCGAACCCCGTTTGGAATAGTAAGAGAAGTTACTGGGCATAATTAAAGATCTTGATCGATACATTGGGGTCTCTATGGATCATGAAGGGTCCTTTGAACCCCGCTGGAGCGCAGTTATTTTATGCTAGTTCAGAAAATTTCACATACTTCTAAACGTACTCGTATACTCAATATTAAACAATGCTCTCATGGTTAATTATTAACCTCCAGTTCAAAGTTAATGAACTTAAAGTGCTATATACTTTAATTTTGAAATAGTTCTATCGAATCTTGAGAATAACAACACACACACACAGTACCTGCAATAGCCTGTATTGTTCCCGATATGGTGAAAATACTCTTCTTGATAATACTACGAATGCAGCATCCTAATACTGACGTAAACACAGTAAACACCATCAGACCTATTCCAAAAGCGAAAAACACCAAAGCCGCCTTCCAAAAGTTAGGGAACTCTTCAGAAGGCATTCCAAAGCTAGTTACAAACGGTGCACAGCTATCTGTGAATAGTTGGTCCACTTGATGAATCTTTGTGCACCGGTTATATATACCTGGAATTAAATTTGATGAATTCAGAGGAATTTAAGGCAAAATCGTACAACATTAACTATTTTTAGAAATGTTCAAAACAAGGTTATAAGTCATTTTAACCCGAACATAATTATATATCCAATGCATTTAGCATGCTTCCCTTTTATAGTTTAACTTGTTTAGAAAACACTTGATTTTAATTAACAAAACCACATTTATAATGCGTTACTGTTATGTTCATCCTACCGTACTTTCCCCATTCATCAAGGATCACATAGAAGATTTATGTTATACTGATTGTTTGCACTTGACTGTTGATTCTACTGAAGATGCTTTATATTATTATTCAAATACATTCGATTTTAAAGTCTGTTTACGTAGCAACTAATTCTACTAACTCCTAATTATCGTATACTGTTCACGAACAGCATATTTTATTGTCAACCATAAACGTATAAAGTATTATAGAAAAAAAAGAGTTAAAATACGAATAATATCTTGGCTCATAACTTTTTGATTAAAAGATATGTATCTTATTAAAGACGTGTATGTTTTATTTGAGAAGTTCATTTTCTTAGATAACCAAACACGGATCGTAGATTTATGGCAAAAGCTGTTTATTTTAGGTTAAGTTTTTAGTCCACCTCGTTTTCAAAGTCCATGGATTCTTTTCTTTACATGTTAAACTTACCTAACGTTGGAGAATACATTTCTTCATTGTTCCCTGGGGTAGGTGACCTTGATCTTAAACCGGGCTTTCTGGGTGACCCAATTAACCAACTGGGTGTAATAACTGCCGCTACCATGGCTAAAGATGTCGCTATTGTTAGTAACGTCCATAACAAAGTTCGTGAAGTCACAATGACATAACACATGTTGGATGTTTCTAACTTTTACGGAAAGAAGCCGAACTAATGTCTCACAGAAAATCAGACCAAGAACACTAAACGTTGCTGAAAACTTTAGACATTCAAAACCTAGAAAACACAGAAAAAAAATATATGAGGATGCTTTAAAATTACTACACTTTTATTTGTTTGCATATTTTACACGGATTAACGTAATACTAATTATGAAATGTTTATATTTATAGATTTAGGCGAGACAGTTTCTCCTTCTAAAATCCATCTGATTTAGAATGCAATTTGCACATATATTTTGTACCAACAGTTGTAACTTGCCTTTGTCCATCTGTTATTAATTCTGTTCATCTTTCAGGTAGTGTCCATTTTTTAAATTAAGATTTCGAAGTTCTTTGACAAATAATAATAATAGACGTTTAACAATAATTTTTACATAAAATAATAGATCTTTTTATACCTACACTACGATACAATCATTAGGAATACCATTACAAGATATTACAAAATTAGACATTTGCTTTAATTAAATGCCAAGACAAATCACGAGACACTAATACAAAGGAATTTCCAATTCTATAAATCGCTTGTACCGTTACCCACACATATACAATGAATGACGTTAACATAAATAGTGGTGATTTTTTCCCAACACTAAACTCGTCTGATGTCTTATCACCTCTAACAAGCTATCAGTGAATTTCTCTTGACATTCTAAAATAACCTTTCAAAGAAAATAAGTGTCATTTCTTTATTCTATATTAAACTTGTGCATTTCCAACATGCCGAGTGGATTCTGCCACATTTCCATTGCTAATTTCTTCTAGGTGAATGGTTCACGGTTTTATCTTATACGTTTATAATACAGTTACACACTTCCTTCCTACATCTTTTTTGTTTCTGCCTTTGCGAGCACAAGGGCTTATACTTACAAGATAAAAGGAAACAATGTCATGTATTTTTTGTGTGATGGAGCAAATATATGAAGTATCAGAAAGGAGTAGATAGTCCCGTCTCCTCAATGTCAAGTAGAATTTGTCATTTTTTCTTTACGTCTCCTTCTCCAGTAATTGTTCTGGTTGTATTGAAGTATCAGAAAGGAATAGATAGTCTCCGTCTCCTCAATGTCAAGTAGAATTTGTCATTTTTTCTTTACGTCTCCTTCTCCAGTAATTGTTCTGGTTGTATTGAAGTATCAAAAAGGAGTAGATAGTCTCCGTCTCCTCAATGTCAAGTATAATCTGTCATTTTTCTTTACGTCTCCTTCTCCAGTAATTGTTCTGGTTGTGTTGAAATATCAAAAAGGAGTAGATAGTTCCCGTCTCCTCAATGTCAAGTATGATCTGTCATTTTTTCTTTACGTCTCCTTCTCCAGTAATTGTTCTGGTTGTGTTGAAATATCAAAAAGGAGTAGATAGTTCCCGTCTCCTCGATGTCAAGTATGATCTGTCATTTTTTCTTTACGTCTCCTTCTCCAGTAATTGTTCTGGTTGTGTTGAAATATCAAAAAGGAGTAGATAGTTCCCGTCTCCTCGATGTCAAGTATGATCTGTCATTTTTTCTTTACGTCTCCTTCTCCAGTAATTGTTCCGGTTATGTTCTGTACATCTATATATCACCCCGTTGGTGTTACGTTTTTCGTATACTGTTTATATAACACAGTTTTCTTCCTTCTTTTATTGCACTTGTTGTCTTGTATGATAGAACAGTTAGTAAAGGTGTGGAGCTTAACTTCTTATGACCTTCCTTATCCGAGATGTTGAGTGGAATCCATCGTTCTTATACTGTTTCTTTTTGTCATCTTTTCTGCTACAGACATCAAAGCCCCAATGGCACAGCGGTATGTCTGCGGACTTACAACGCTAGAAACCGGGTCTCGATACCCGTGGTGGGCAGAGCACAGATAACCCTTGTGTAGCTTTGTGCATAATTAAAAACAAACAAACACCAGACAAATACGCATATTTCAAATAAGATGACAAAATTATTCTTGAAAACTGATCCATACATTTTAAGATCAGATTTACATAACAAAATTATATAACTTCAAAACACCCATGTGATTCAGCGGTAAGTCTAAGGGGTTATAACGCTAAAATCAGGTTTCTATACTCGTAGTGGGCACAACACTGACAACCCATTGTGTAGCTTTATGCTTAATGTCAAACAAATCTTACAGTATTGCATAATTTTGCCCACCGGTTGGTCAGCGGTAAGTTTACGAACTTACAACGCTAAATTCCAGTGTTCGATTCCCTGCTGGGGGACAGAATGCAGACAGTTCATTATATAGGTTCATTAATTTTCACTCTTAAACAATGTCTCATAACAAAGTTTGCTTTAAGGAAAATAAGAAAAATCTGATATTTAAAAAAAATGTTTGATAAAAAACGGTTTCAAACAATGTTCAACAGATTTTTTTTTTACATGCTAACTTGTAAAAAAATGCCCCGAATCAACTTACTATTACTTATCGTTATGGTTAGTAGTCTATACGAATATCTATGCAAGATCCTTTGTGAATGTGGAATCCAACATAAAAAACAACGACAAGAATTAGATTTCAAGAATATATTAGACATACGAGTCCATGAAATACAGATATTCCAGCGATAATCCATCATGTCACAGAAGATAACGTAATAAAAAGGGGAAACTATTAAAATATTGAAATATGAACCACATACGAGAGAGAGCAAGCTAGAAAAAAAGCCTTCTGTATCCACCTAGCACAGAAATCAGTAAAATCATGACACTCCTACTAAAACCATTTCATATAGTTAATTCCCGTACCAGTTAGTGATTAGTAAAGGTGTGGCGATACTCGTATCGTATCGTGAAACATCGTCCGATACTATTTATGTACCTTCACGAAATTTGGCAAGCTTTCAGTAAACATAATAAGTATTTTGTACAGAAAAAATTTGAATTTCTAATAAAGTATTTTTGCTAAAAATTAATGATTCAATAAAGGAAGATGAGTATTGAGTATTACATGTTGTATTCATTTCTTTTATCAAAACCAATACATAACAAAGTAACATAACAAATTAACAATAACAAAATAGATAGATAGATAACAACTTTCTTATTTCACTTCTCTTACCAGCTGCCACTTAGTTGATCAAACCTAAGAATTTGAAAAAGCACTGTAAAGTGTGAAG